GCTGCAGAGAATAGTAGGGAGCTGAAGTATGTACTGCAGAGAATAGTAGGGAGCTGAAGTATGTGCTGCAGGGAATAGTAGGGAGCTGAAGTATGTGCTGCAGAGAATAGTAGGGAGCTGAAGAATGTGCTGCAAGGAATAGTAGGGAGCTGAAGTATATGCTGCAGAGAATAGTAGAGAGCTGAAGTATGTGCTGCAGGGAATAGTAGGAGCTGAAGTATGTGTGCTGAAGGAATAGTAGGGAGCTGAAGTATGTGCTGCAGGGAATAGTAGGAAGCTGAAGTATGTGCTGCAGAGAATAGTAGGGAGCTGAAGTATGTGCTGCAGAGAATAGTAGGGAGCTGAATTATGTACTGCAGGGAATAGTAGGGAGCTGAAGTATGTGCTGCAGGGAATAGTAGGGAGCTGAAGTATGTGCTGCAGAGAATAGTAGGGAGCTGAAATATGTGCTACAGAGAATAGTAGGGAGCTGAAGTATGTGCTGCAGAGAATAGTAGGGAGTTGAAGTATGTGCTACAAGGAATAGTAGGGAGCTGAAGTATGTGCTGCAGGGAATAGTAGGGAGCTGAAGTATGTGCTGCAGGGAATAGTAGGGAGCTGAAGTATGTGCTGCAGAGAATAGTAGGGAGCTGAAGTATGTGCTGCAGGAATAGTAGGGAGCTGAAGTATGTGCTGCAGGGAATAGTAGGGAGCTGAAGTATGTGCTGCAGGAGAATAGTAGGGAGCTGAAATATGTGTTACAGAGAATAGTAGGGAGCTGAAGTATGTGCTGCAGAGAATAGTAGGGAGTTGAAGTATGTGCTACAAGGAATAGTAGGGAGCTGAAGTATGTGCTGCAGAGAATAGTAGGGAGTTGAAGTATGTGCTGCAGGGAATAGTAGGGAGCTGAAGTATGTGCTGCAGAGAATAGTAGAAAGCTGAAGTATGTGCTGCAGGGAATAGTAAGGAGCTGAAGTATGTGCTGCAGGGAATAGTAGTAGGAGTTGAAATATCCTGCTGGGGAGTTGAATTATATGCTGCAGGGAATTGCCAGTATGTGCCTTGAATAATGGTGACCAAAGTGTGTGCTGCTGGGAGCTGAATTTTTGTGCCACAGGGAACTGTAGGGCTTATCGAAGGAGAATGCTAGCCAAGTTGGATGTTGACCTCCCTGCAGCAATGTGAGTTAGTGTACACAGGCTTGTACCAGCCTGGGATGTGTAGATTAACTGTAGAACTACACGTCCCAGCATTTGTACTGGAACTAGTAGCTCCACAAAGGAGAGGGGGTAGCAAGACAAGTGTATGGAATGTACTATTCCTGTTGTCACTAGTGTCACCATTATTATCATTGCTGCATATTTTCATGATTGCCCATTTGTTACTCTCACATTGCTACGACTCCCCATGTGTTGCTTGCGTATTCTCACTATTGTTTTTGGATCTATCCTTTAAGCCCCTCCCACTTTTAAGCACAATTCAGTCACACTTACAATTCATTATTAACCCCTGCCCACCACTCTGCCCCCATTCTCAGAAAATAGAATTTTCAAAAATCCCTACACATAGGTGTGCACAGCCTGTTTCATTAGGGTGTGCACCCCAAAGCTTAAACACACATGCGTGTGTGTATTTATATATACAGTATATACAGTCCTGGCCAAAAATATTGTCCCCCTGCATTTCTGTCAGATAATGCGCCACTTAGTCCAGAAACTTGTTGCAATTACAAATGTTTCGGTATTCTCATGTTTATTTATTTTTTTTTTGTACTGGTATGACAAAAAAAAGTAGAGAAACAAAAAGCCAAATCTGACACATTCCACGCAAAACCCCAAAAATGGACTGGACAAAATTATTGCACCCTCAATTTAATATTTGGTAGCACACCCCTTGGTGAAAATAACTGAAATCAATAGCTAGCTGTCACCATCAATGAGTTTCTTTCACCTCTCTACTGGAATTTTGGAGCACTTTTCTTTCACCAACTGCTCCAGGTCTCTTAGATTGGAAGGTTCCTCTCCCCAGCTGCTGTTTTGAGATCTCTCCACAGGGCTCTATGGGATTGAGATCTGGACCCATTGCTGGGCAGTTTAGTACTCTCCAAAGCTTTGCCTGAAACCATTTCTGGGTGCTTTCTGATCTGTGCTTTGGGACATTGTCCTGCTGTTAGACCCATGACCTCTGACAGACACCCAACTTTCTGACACTGGGCCCTACACGCACCCCAGAATTCTTTGGTAGTCTTCAGACTTCATAATGCCATGCACACGGTCAACACATCCAGGGCCTGAAGCTTCAAAGCAACTCCAAAACATCAGTGAACCTCCACCATGTGTAACTGTAGGGACTGGATTTTTTTCTTTAAAGGCCTCATTTTTTTTGTTTTAAACAGTAGAATGATAGACTTTACCAAACAGCTGTAATTTTGTTTTGTCTGTCCACAGCAAATTCTCCCAAAAGGATTTTGGCTTCCTTGGGTAAATGGCAAACTCCAGTCTGGCTTTTTTATAGTTCTGTGTCAGCAGTGGGGTCCTCCTGGGTCTCCTACCATAGCATCGCTTTTGATTCAGATGGCGACGTATAGTGTGAGCTGCCACAGTTGTACCCTGTGCCTGAAGGTCATTTTGAGGTTGTCCGGAAGTTGATCGAGGTTCTTTAACCACCATTAAAAAAATCCTTAGTTGCAATCTTTGATTAACTTTTTTCTTTCATTCATGTTCAGGGAGATTAGCTACAGTGCCATAGGCTGTAAACTTCTTGACAATGTTGCGCACAGTGGACACAGGAACATTAAGATCTCTGGAGATGGACTTGTAAGCTTGCGATTGTCCATGCTTTTGCACAATTTTTGTTCTCGAATCCTCAGACAATTCTTTTCTGCTCTTTCTTTTCTCCATGCTCCATGTGACACACAGAGACACACAACAGAAAGGTTGAGTCGATTTTTCACCATTTTACCTATTTGCCGCTGTGATTTCTATATTGTCAGCACCTTTTAATTTGTACAGGTGAGTATAATTACAAATTACAGGAGCATCACAAACTTGGAATGCAATTATTGCTTACAATTTTGAGAAGGTGCCAATAATTTTGTCCAGTTCAATTCTGGGGTGTTGTGTGGAATGTATCAGACTTGGCTTTCTGTTTCTCTACTTTTCTGTGTCATATCAATACAAACAAAAGAAATAAACAGGAGAATGCCGAAACATTTGCAATTGCAACAATTTTCTGGGTGAAGTGGTTTATTATCTGACAGAGACACAGGGGGGACAAGATTTTTGGCCATGACTTTATTTATACAGGCATACCTCGGTTAACATAATTTTCAGTTTACGAATGAAAACCCATTGAAAATAATGCCTTGGTTTACGAATTTCTTTCGTAATACGAAGCAAGTTTCCCCAGGATGCATTGCACCTGGGAGGTTTATAGCTCCGGCTCCGTGCCTTTAAAGTGCACTTTATAAAGAGTTTTGAACAGATAAGACTTTGTTTTACTTTTTTCTGACCTCCGGAACGGATTAATTGGTTTTCAATGCATTTACAATTTTTTTTTGCAATGTGAAGTAAGATTCCCCAGGATGAATTGCGCCTGGCAGGTTTATAGCGCCGACCCTTGTGCATGCTGAAGTCTGTGGGTAGCACGTAGCGTCGAGTGTGGTGGTGTTGGAGAAGTTTTTGCATCGAGTTTTGGTGACATTCTGGAAATTTTTAATCATGTCCCTGTACAGCATTTATGCCTTTAAAATGCACTTTATAAAGAGTTTTGAACAGATAAAAGACTTTTTTTTTACTTTGTTCTGCCCTCCGCAACGGATTAATTGGTTTTTAATGCATTTGCAAATTTTTTCGCAATACGAAGCAAGTTTCCCCAGGATGAATTGTGCCTGGGAGGTTTATAGCGCTGGCCCTTGTGCATGCTGGAGTCTGTGGTTAGCACGTGGCGTCGAGTGTGGTGGTGTTGGAGCGGTTTTTGCATCGAGTTTTGGAGCCATTCTGGAAATTTTTCATCATGTCCCTGTACAGTATTTATGTCTTTAAAGTACACTTTATAAAGTTTTGAACAGATAAGACTTTTAAAAACATTTTTTCTGACCTCAGGAACGAATTAATCGGTTTTCAATGCATTTACAAAAAATTTTTTCGCAATATGAAGCAAGTTTCTCCAGGATGAATTGCTCCTGGGAGGTTTATAGCGCCGGCCCTTTTGCATGCTGGAGTCTGTGGGCAGCACGTGGCGTCGAGTGGGGAGGTGTTGGAGTGGTTTTGGCAAGTTTTGGAGCCATTATGGAAATTTTTAATTATGTCCCTGTACAGTATTTACGCCATTAAAGTGCACTTTATAAAGAGTTTTGAATAGATGAAATACTTTTTTTTTTTAATTGGTTTTCAATGCATTCCTATGGGAAACTGTGTTTTGGTTTACGAATTTTTCTCAATACAAAAAGTTCTGCAGAATGAATTAAATTTGTAAACTGAGGTACGCCTGTACAAACACACATTCTTAGAGTAGAGGTGGTCAGAGGGCGATCTTTCCCATCTCCCTGCCGGCCCACAGAGCGAATGCGCACACGCTACTGCGCATGGTAGGATTGCCACCTCATCCCTTTATAACTGAACACATATTGATTACACAGGTTCAGAATTCTGATTAAGATGGTAATTAAACTCACTTAGTGTTTATCTGCAATTAATTAGCCTCAGAACCTGTGTAATGAATGTGTTCAGCTTTAAATGCATGACGTGGCAACCTCAGCGCACAGAGTTATTAGGATGTGCCTAGACACCCCTTCGCACAGTTCGATATGTTCCTAGATATGATCATCAGTGGGAGCCCAATAATGGACCCAAAGACTGGCAGTAGGTGTCATTGATCGTTGACAGAGCGATCAGAGAGGGCGCCCCATCACTGGAGAAGGGCACGCCAGAGGATAATGAGGCCATGTATAAAGTATATATGCTTCCTTACATATTACAATAAGAGCCAACCACATTGCAAGACTTGGGCAGAATGCTGACAACCAGGGGCGGACTGATAACTCATGGGGGCCCCGGGCAATAGGGATCATGGGGCCCGTGTCCTTGCCCAAACTCAAAAAAGCCTATGAAAAAGGTAGCGGGGCATCTTATGGGGCCCCCTACGGCCCCCGGGCCCTCGGGCAGTGCCCTAGTTTCCAAATGGTCAGTCCGTTCCTGCTGACAACACATTGGAGGAGCCCCCAGCACAGTGTGAGCCAACCCAAAGCATGTTACATGTTCCTGCAAGTCTTCCCTCCTTGTACAAATGCAGTCCGTGCAGCAGGGGTCGCTCTTCCGCTACACATCAGACAGCAGTAGGCAGGGCATTACGAAACTATCTATTGTTCCGTTGTGGAACGCACATTGTACGCGTCGCTTCCGGTTTTACACAGCGCTTCCGGTATAAAGAGCGCCTAAGGAGAGGGACGCTCCTGGTGCAATTTTTTGTATTCCCCGAATCGGCCGCGAATCCGCGGCATCCGACCTGCAGCCATGGTGAGTGCGGGAGAGGGGGGCCTGGTGGGATAAGGGGAGCCGGCTGAGGCCGATATTGGTGGGCTTCTATTGTCGGGGGCGTGCTTCTGTATGTGTGTGAGGGAATGAGCTCCCCCCCCCTCGGTATTGCGCGTGTGTGGATGAGGGGCCCTATCTGGCTGTGTGCTGTAGAGCTCTCCACTCCCTCCCAGGGGCGGACTGACCATTTGGAAACTCAGGCACTGCCCGAGGGCCCGGGGTCAGTAGGGGGCCCCATGAGATGCCCCTGGTACCTTTTTCATAGGCTTTTTTGAGTTTGGGCAAGGACACAGGGGCCCCATGATCCCCTATTACCCGGGGGCCCCATGAGTTGTCAGTCCGCCCCTGCTCCCTCCTCATTCTGTCCAGTGACTGTAGGCCATTAATTTCTAGTCATGGCGGCTCTGTTGGCTCCTATGTAGGAAGTCCAGGACAAGTGTGTCGGCACAGTCAGGGACGTCCTGGTTGTTGGCTCTTCTGCCTTGGCTTCACCTCCATTCCCAACCAGGACACTACTAGGCCGCATTTTTTTTTTTTTTTTTTGGGGGGTGGGGGTGTATCTTCTCCCCCCCCCCCACACAACCTTTGCTCTAGGCATGGAGAAAGTGATGATAAATGTACTTAAAGCTGTTGTTTGGGCACGTGTTCTTTCCATGGGTTCCAGCCATTGGAATGGATGCTCAAGCTCCAAACGTGTTTGGGTTTTTTTTTTTCTGGGGGGGGGGGGGGGGGGGGGGGGGGGGGGGGGGTGTGTGTGTGTGTGTGTTTTGTTTTTTTTTTTTTTTTTTTTTTTTTTTTAGGGCCCCCCGCCTCTATGTAGTGTATATAAGGATCCATAGTCTAATATAGGACATTAGAAGCAGAAAGTCTCTTATCCTGGCCGTACATGGTTAGAAAAAAGTTTGGGGGGAAAAAAGTTGAATATATAAAGCTTTGTCGGAGGTAGGTTGAGGGCAGGTTTGCCTGGAAGGAGCTCGACTCTCCCTGGAGGTAGAGGATGCATGTGACTCCCAGCAAGAGCACAATGGAAGCGATGATATCCAGTGGGTCCCTGCACCCAATTCAGCTGTACAAAACAAGGCAACCACCCAACTAGCCTTTACAGCAAGGTGCACATGTAAGGACAACGCACATCACAAATTTTCCAGCACACTGCCAGCCTGTAAAAGCAACCAAATTTCTTTGCAGATCATGAAGGGGACATACCCTGAAAGCTTGTCCTCAAAATTGTATGTTGGTGCAAATAAAAAAAGTATCACGGACAGTACTGAATTGTTTCTGTAGCAAATGCACTAATACGGCTACAATCACCTTTGCAGATAATGCAAACAAAACCCTCTGTTGTTTAACAGACTGTTCAGACAATTTGGTTGTTTTTGCAGCCTGGCTGGTAAGTGAGCTGGGGAATGTCGTTTGTTTGAAATCTGTCTACCGTGTATGTGGTAACACCATTATTGTTTAAAAATATTTTTCCCCAATTATTGATATAATATAATCATTAACAATAAAACATTTTTAAATTTTTCTATGATTTGTGGAAACAAAGTGAAATTTTTTTTTTTTTTTTACCTTAGTGAACCCTCCCTCTCTCCAGCTGTATTAAAAAAAAAAAAAAAAAAAAACCTTTTCGTTGCTTGTACTTCCGGGGTTACATTTTAGTTCTTGAATGCTTTTTCTAACCATGTGTGCCCAGTGTTACAGCTGTTTTATATCGCCCTGGTTGTGTGGAGTTTGCATGTTCTCACGTGTGTGTCTGTGGCGTTCAGGGTTGTATTATGTGCGAGAACTATAGATTGTAAACTCCTTGGGGGCAGGGACTGATGTGAATGTATGATATTTAAAGTACTGCACAAATTTATTTTCTGCTACATAAAATACCTGTAGTAATTTCAGGGAGGTTGAATTCCTATTGCCCGGGACATGTAGCGCTGGGCAGGTAGTTTCTATTTACCTTCAGCCCTGTTGCAGGCAAGCAGCAGGGCTCACCTGTCAGGTGGAAGCATTCGGGCAGCAGCGCTGCTGCCCATTGCTTCGAGTGCTAGCCTTTCTGCCCCCCACCCACTGTTATCCCGGGCTCAGCTTGCCCATCTGCGGGCCCAGGATGACAATGACTAGAGGGGAGGGAGGAGAGGGGAGACATCCACTCTCCCTTCCCTTGTCCTGATCCAGAAGTGACGTTATGATTTCACGTCTGGGTCCCAGTTGAGATTCCCAGCAATTGAGGCCTAGAAAGAATGTAATGCAGTGCAACGTACACTGCATTACATTCAGTGGAGTAGAGGGGAGACATGCGGAGTCTTTTAGACCTTGGATGTCTCAAAGAGAACCTGTCAACAAAAAAAAATAATCATAGGGGACTTTATCCCTGTGCGATGGAAAAAAAAAAAAGGTAAAAAAAAACGAATTGTAAAAAATGAAGCGCAAACCCCCCCCCCAAACAAAAAATTTTGCCTCCCCCCCACATACAAATGTAAATGCACACGCTGGGGCACCTACGCACATGAAAACGACAATTGCGATACGTTACATGTAGCCGCGTACGCCAGAATGAGAGCAATGATTCTAGTACTAGACCTCCCCTGTAACACTGAACTGATTACCTGTAGGGGGCTTTAGAAGTGTCGCCTATAGAAAATATAGGGTACTGAAGTTTGTCACCATTTCACAAGTGCACACAAATTTAAGGTTGACATGTTGGTTATCTATTTACTCAGTGCAACCTCATCTTTTATGTTTTACAAAAAAATAGGGTAATTTATTGGGGGGGGGGGGTTTTTTGTGCCCTAAAAACTTAAGTTTGGGGGTTTTGTGTAATCTTCAGGCCTAAAATTAACAAATTATTTTTTTGTTTTTAAATCTTGTGCAAAAAAAAGCTCTGGCAGCAAAAGGGATAAAGGATTAGCCTGACAAGCGCCCCCAATTGGTGCTCATTACACTGCAAGGGCTCTCTTCCCTGCTAGTTCCTGGGTGCAGTGCTGGAGACAGGGAGGGGAGGAGGAAATAAACGGTGCAATGTTAAAAATATTACACGTTTAATTTGTCATAAAACCCCTTTGTTTTTTAAAACATTCCAAAATATCACCTCCGTTTTTTAAATACGGTTAAAAATTATCTGAATAGATTGTCATGAGGGGCAAGTAGATTGGGACACAGATTTATGCAGGCCATAGATGGGGAGGAAACTGGCCGCTTTTTTTTTTTTTTTTTTTTTTTTTAAAGGAAAAATCGGTCGTCAGTTAGCCGCCGTTGGTAAAAAAAAAAAAATCTGATTTTTGTCCCGTCTACGGCCGGTAATTAATATAGCGGTGTCTCTGCAGAGAACTCCGCTATATTTGACATTTAAAAGAAATAGAATATGAATAATATAAAAAGTTGCAACTTTGAAATTCAGATGTTTCTATTTGGTTACAAATGGATACAATGTTGCAACCCTTATACTTTTAAATGTCAAATATCATAGCGGAGCTCTTTAATAGATTTGACATTTCTTTTTTGGCAAACATTGTATCTATTTGTATGGATACAAATAGATAATTTGGTCACGGCATGCGCAATTTTTTTAATTGGGAACAAGATCGTCTGATTTGCCCATCCGTGAAATTCGGCCTCCCAACATGAACGATTCAAAAAAGTGTCAAAATCATAAAAACCGGGCGACCCATTCAGCCACTAACAATCCAAAAATTGGCATATATATATATATTATTATATATTATATATATATATATATATAATTTTTTTGGACTAATTTCCGGCCGTTTTTCTACCTGTCTATGGCCTGCATTTGTCTCTGGACAAGATATTTTCAAAAATTTCCACACCCCTGGGTAATTGGAGATTAGGCACATGACAAAATTAGACACTAGGGGATATTTACTAAAATTTGAGCACTCAATCTGGGTCAGCTGTGCACGGTAGCCAATCGGTTAACTTCAGCATGTTCAATTAAGCTTTGACAATAAAACCTGGAAGGAAGCTGAATGGCTACCATCCACAGCTGCACCAGATTTTGCACACTCCAGTTTAAGTAAATCCCCCCCCCCCCCCATTTCTCTATGTAAATTGTGTGCCATACAAAACTCCTCTGTGGTGCTATATTTATGGAGCATGTTTCCCCAAGCTGGGGGCAGGATCATGCAGGTGATGCTTAGACACTCCTGATCAGTGTCTGTATATTTAATGCCCTCATTTAGGTTGAGAGGGAAAGGCAGGCAAATTTTAGATGAAGTTACTTTGTCCAATACAGTGCTCCATCTCAATCTATTTGTACCCATGCTGAAATTTGTACACAAGAATAGGTGTTCTGCAGAGCTCATGTTGGCATAGGACAAGGGAACGCTCTGGCAAGCTTATTCGTGGGTTTAAAGTGAGACACGAGGTATAGGACACAAATTGTGAACAAGCAGGATCCTTATTGCTGAAGAGACATGCAGGCTATGCATTTTAGGAACCAGGCAGAAGTGTAGCATTTACTGACGAGAGATGCATAGGATTGTTCTGCATGTTTCTGTTCAAAGGGATGTGCAATTCATATCGCCTGGGACATGTAGTTCTCGGCAGGTAGTTTTGTTAGGGGTTTTTTTTTTTTTCTCCCTTTAGCCCTGCTGCAGGTCCCACTTGACAGGTGGCAACACTGCCACCCAATTGCTTCCACACAGTGCCAGCCGCCCCGTCTGCTATATAGCCCAGGCTCCACTTGCCCATCTGCGGGCCTGGTGCTGGTTCAGTGGGCGCTTGGCAGTATGTCAGAATGCGATTTTATAGAGGGAGAACGGACACGAATGGGCTGTTATGCTCTGTGAACCTCACAAAAAATATGCACTTTTAAAAATGCGGCTGTAGGGAAACTACTTGCTTTTTTTGACCATGCATTTTCCCTGTGCTTACTGCACCTGTGATCGGGAGATATGTGGAGGTGCCATTCAGGGTGAATGGCAGCCTGCAGTTCTCTCAAGGACTACCCCCACACAGTCTTTCACATGACTTTGGGAGGTGGGTCACATGCTCCTCCATACCTAGAGGTATCGGATATTTTCTTGTTGCTAAACAGCAGTAGGAGTACATAGGAAGGAGGAGTTCATGGGGAGGAGGCTAATAAAGCTGACCTGTTTTACACTGCATGGGGAAAGAGGTTTTCTTGAAGACTATTCTTTATAGGATTAACATGGGTTTTGCCAGGGGTCACTTGCTTTTGATGTGTAGTCTTGGCAGGTCCTATCATATGGATCCTGACTTACTGGATTGCTAAGTAAACAATGTAGAAAAGTGAGAATCTATGTGCTAAGCAAAGACTGAATGCACAAAATGTGCTAATAAGGCTTTCTGTATCCTTCTCTTTCAGACGGTGGGGAAAAGCAGCAAGATGCTGCAGCACATTGACTACAGAATGCGTTGCATTCTGCAAGATGGTCGCATCTTCATTGGAACCTTCAAAGCATTTGACAAGCATATGAATCTTATACTGTGTGATTGTGATGAGTTTAGGAAGATTAAGTAAGTGTTCGGTTTGCTGTGGTCATCACACTAAAAAACACTTTATTGTACCTTTTGCACTTGCTAATAATTTCTTTCCCTAGGCCCAAGAACTCCAAACAGCCAGAACGGGAGGAGAAGAGGGTACTAGGGTTGGTTTTACTACGTGGGGAGAACTTGGTATCCATGACAGTAGAAGGCCCACCTCCAAAAGATGTAAGGCCAAATCTGCTTTTTCAACTGTTTAGTGTAATTCTGCCTTTTTACAAAACTGGACTCTAGAGAGGGGAAAAAGTGTTTTTATAATCAGCTGGCAAGTATCTAAAAATTCTTTGCATTAGTTTACTGAAGCAGCAGATGCTGAGGGAGTAAACACAATATTAACCAATCAGGAGGCTGCGTCTAAAATGGACAGCACTCCCAATTTAGTACAGACTAGTTGACATTCAACATATTAGTACTTAAAAAAAAAAAAAAAAAAAAAAAAAAAAAAAAAAGTAATAGGCTGGAGTGAGTCCTACAGCAGACTATTCCTCATAACTGGTGCCTGAACGCAGCTCAAATCTTTGAAAAAGGCAGTAATTGGCATACATATCCAGAGAGCCTTGTTTAAGGAAGGGCTCAAGTTATGGCATGTAAATGGTCTGGACTTAGTACATCTCCTGTGCTGTTGGGAGTGAAATATTTTGATGGGTGTAAACTGTCCTGGGCACATTAACAGGCATGTTCATTTTCACTGCTAAACCGCATCTGAACAGTATTGCATAGCCAGTATGAGGGTGGGTCTTTGTGGTGAGATTTGTCAGTTCTTAAATACACTGCTGTTATGATTGGGGCCTACACACCAGCAGTCTCCTGTATGTTCTCCACTTTGAAAGGATTAAAAAAATCAAAGCTTATTTTCGAAACCCAAGCTATGCGAACGGAATATTTGATCTTCAACATGCTGACAGAGCTGAATTTAAGACTGAAGTTAACATTTGACTTTCTCTTGCAGACTGGTATTGCTAGAGTACCATTGGCAGGAGCAGCTGGAGGGCCAGGAGTTGGGAGAGCAGCTGGTAGAGGAGTGCCAGCTGGTGCTCCAATGCCACAAGCCCCTGCTGGCTTGGCAGGGCCCGTCAGAGGTGTTGGAGGACCATCCCAGCAGGTAAACTATTACATGCAACTAGCACCATTTGGAATCTTAAGAGCACTTGTGTTATGCTTTATAGTCCTTTACCAATAATTAATACTAATATAATGTAACCGTACTGCAGTAGCCATATAAAGTGGGTACATCTTGAATTGATTTATGTAGACCCTGAAGCCCTAAGGCTCTAAGCTAGGTACCCTTCCTGGACCCCCTCACTACAGAGGCCTCTGTTCATGTTTCTTACACTTTTTTTTTTTTTTTTTCTCCTTTTTGTAAGGCAGACCTGACTACTGCATTACATTTACAAGCCACTTTTTAACTTTGATGCTCCGGTCATAAGGTTGACTTAACTGTTTGTGATTTATATGCAGTTTGGAAAACCTATTACACTCGGCTTTAGTTTTCTCTCCCTTAATGTTTGCTGGATATCATCCTGGAATTTTCTTATAATTGACGAACCTGTACAGGTTATGTTTTTGCATTTTGTAAAAACCTCCAATTTATTGAAAGTAAATTTGATGGCTTATGTGCTCACAGGTGATGACACCTCAGAGCCGAGGCAACGTTGCAGCTGCTGCAGCAGCAGCCACAGCTAGTATTGCTGGGGCCCCAACACCGTATGCTGCTGGAGGACGTGGAGGTCCCCCACCACCAATGGGTCGAGGAGCACCCCCACCAGGTATGAGTAATCTGAGCTCTTGCTGTGCTAGACTGGATCTATGATGAGAAGCCTGGTTCTGAATCTGTTGATGAAACCTTAGCAGGATTACCCTGAGATCTAGTCTGGACTTGTGTACTCGGTGATGTCTGATCTGCCTATTACTGATTGTGTCTTGTGTTTATGTAGGCATGATGGGCCCACCTCCAGGCATGAGGCCACCCATGGGTCCACCAATGGGCATGCCCCCAGGGAGAGGAGGACCAATGGGAATGCCACCACCAAATATGAGACCGCCACCACACCTGGAATGAGAGGTAAGAAGTTTAGGTTCTTTCCAATGTCTCTAAAAACATGGCATTTTATGTAGGGTAAAAAAGCAAACTTTGAAACACAAACTATGAAATAATGGATGTAGTTGCTTCATCCTTATACTTAATACTTATGAAGGACACTGTCTAGTTGAGGGTTTATTTATTTTTTGCCATCCTTAAAGGCAAAAACATTGCCTGGGAATACAAATTTTTAGTTTTGATCCTGTAAGGATTAGCTGCTATAAATGACCCACCTAAGTTCTGGTTCGTACTGAATGCAGCTTTGAAATCTTACTACTTCACTCAGTTGCGCAATTTCAAAGCTGCAGATCGGTACAATATGTACCTCCCCAATTTCACTGCGGCTTGTGACTTAAATTGACAAAAGACCAATGAAATTGGAAAAGTAGTGCATGGACTATTTTTGAAATCGTGCTGCTTTAAATTGCACTGATTAAGACACTGCCATAGACATTGGATACAACCTCAGGAGCGATTTGTAAATCACATGTTGCACTGGCATGCAGCAGGGCTAACTGATTAGGTTTGAAGGATGGCTTCTATAATGGGCATCTAGGAAGAAGCCTGGCTTTTTATTTATATATATATATACACACACAAATACAACAAGCTTGTATGTATATTGTGTAAAGTGAGCGCCAACCTTTTTAAAACTAATCAATTTGTAGCCAATTGGCCACTACATAGTTGTTAGTAGATCCAAATGTGACTGTAGCATCAGATTGTAAGGCTTGTTGGCTTTAGAGATCCCCTTGTTACAGTGACAGTTGTAACCAGACCATGACATGTGATACAGCAGTACCTAGGTTTGGGTAGTGGACAGCGAAAACCTTTTGGGGTGGTTTTTTTTAAGTGTTCTTGCATGGCAAGGCCACTTGCTGTTATCTCACATATATTATAGCCAAATTTACCACCCTAACTCCTCCCACAGTTTTTACACTACATAGACAGTAATATACCGACACGTGCGGATTGTTCCCGATTGGTGTGCTATTACTTTGTGGAACATTTCGCCAAATGGTTCACGAAATATTGGAGTTTTTGTGGTGAAATTGGTCCCATAGAAATGAATGGAGGAATGTTCAAAGCTAGAGTGGGAGCGGACCAAAGCGGACATGATATGTAAACTGCCATCACTCCCTCATTTTCAAGCCCACCTACACAAATCTTCTATAAAAAAAAAGTTATCCCTGCTGCCACTAAAATGTCCACGGCTAAGCCATAGTCCTGATAGTTTTTTCACAATATGACCATTTGTTTGCAACTCGCGCCGCCCATTGACATTCATTGAAATTCCACTCTAGCCACCTCCAATTTGAAGGGCAATTTCTAAACTGCAACACTGCCTTCATTTTTAATATTTCAGAGACATACTATGCATCAAAATGTAGGTCTGGGTCTTGTGGTTCTCACAACATAAAGCTCAGTGTAGGATTTATAGTTGTCAAACTACAACAGTTTGAAGATGGCAACCGCCAGTCAAGTGAGCAAGTTGGAGCAGTTTGTTTTTAACTGCTCTTCTCTGTGCTGTAGAGGTGACTTACCATAGGAACCCAGGTGTGTGAGCAGGCAGCAGAGTGACAAAAGCTAGAGTGTGAGTTGTAGACTACTGGTGGAGGCAAGAACACTTCACACAATTTCCCCAGAAATTGTAGCTTGTCTAGTTTTTGTTTTTTATAAGATGTTTAATGACTTCCTGTCTGATGAAACCATTGTGACAGTAAGCCATGGAAATCTCTTTAACTAGAGTAGAAAAGCATTGCAACTTCTGTCATTTTTGTTTTTTTTTTTTTTTTTTTTTTTTAAGATTTTGACAGGATGGTTAAATCTGTGCCCCCACCTCTGGGTGATGGTCTGTTCAAGTACCCAGGGTTTTAAGGATACCCAAAGATTCAAGTCGGCCATCCTCTTGGGTGTAAATTGGGATGGGTGATTATATGTAGTAGGCTCATGTGGCTACAGCTGTATCAGTTATGTACTGTTGTAGTTAATAACCGCATAATGGAGTTCCATGGTTTTGGGGATAACAGGGGGCTTGAAAAATCAGGGGTATAGGGCTAATTACAAAGAATGTGAGCTCACAGGTTCCTTTTTTTTTTTTTTTTTTTTTTTTTTTTTTTTTTTTTTTTTTTTTTTTTTTTTATTGAATGGAAGAGAGAGGGGGGGGAGGGAAATTGTCCTAAATGTTGCTCTAAACAATTTTGCTCATTCTATTTTACAGGTCCTCCACCACCAGGCATGAGGCCAACCAGGCCATGATCTGAGCTGCCGTAGACTTATCTTGTACATCTGGCGATCATCACTTGTTCACCCTCATGGGACTGTTTTAGTTAAATGTTTTGTAACCTTTCTTTGTAAATTGTTTTTAATAAAGAAGTAAATAAAACTCTTGTTTGTCAGATGAAATGCTAATTAAGTCCTCCTGTTCAACATGAATTAACTCCTGATAAGTATTGCATTTCCCCACACTTACAGGGACAGCAGGTGGACAATCTCTGCTGTCTTTTTATTAGAGTGGTGGGGATCGTGGGTATGATTACTTCTTTATTCACTGGGGATATGTAAAATTCAGCAGGGCTATACTACCACATACAAGAAGTTTTAGACATGGACAGAAATTTACCTCTCCTTTACACAGCAGATGGTGGGATCTTTAACCTTTTCATGACTTCTGTAGCCTGTGACTGCTGTTTTTTTTTGTTCACAGCAGTAGCCTCTCCTGGCTCCATGGTCACATGGTCAGGAGCCTGTACTACTGGCTCCCAATTGGCAGTTTGAGAATGCTGTCAGTGACTGCTGAGCCATTGTACTGAGGGCGTCTCTGTAAACAGCCTCCTACCAATGGGATGTTCCACCTGCAATCCTTTTTTAGTATAAACTAAAGATGTCTAAAGCAGGCCATAGACAAGTTGAACAAGTTATATCAAACAAATGTCTTCTACAATTTTGCCATCAACTTTGTTCTAATCTTCTATAGCCTGCATTAATCTAAATGCATTTTTTTTATATACTCAATTTGGCCTGTATGAACATGTAGGCTTGTGGCCAAAAAAAAAAAAAAAAAACACTACACTTGGCTATTGGTGCTCTGAGATCAGAAGATTAATAACAATTTGCCCCATCATTCTAAGTGTATACAGCTGGTATAGAAAATAGTCTTTAAAATTACATTTCCCAGAGCTTCTTCGAGGATGGCTACATGAGATACTACCCTCAGGAAATTCATTGAGACCCTCTCCCTTGTTCTCAGTAAACCCCCCCTGTGGGCATGGCCTCAGGATATGTCTTTTTAGGTACTAAGGATTTAGTCTCTTTACCTGGATCTCTCTCCCCTGATCTGTGGACCAACTCCAGAAGCTCCTCCATGGTACCAGGCAGTGGTGTTCCCAGGGAGACCGGATGGCTGTCAGCAGAGGCTGGAAAGGTATGAGCATTTGCAGGTCTCTTGTGGTTTCCCATCCTGGCAGCCCTCATGGTACACCCAGAAGTGACACACTGCTGCCATCAATTAAGAGTCACAATGACACTTGTGGTTGGCACGTGCTGAGGTGCCATTTATAAACTGAGTGCCGTTACTACATTTGGGGGGGTGAGAGAACACTGACACCAGGCAGTTCTGAGTAACCAGCACATAGGCCTACAACATTCATGCAGGAAGGAGGCCCTGTGGCACCAAAAGCTTAGATTGCTGCCCCCCCTTTTTTACAATTCTAGAATGCGGACTTGTCTTTTGAAGTCGGGGGTTATTAAAGACCAGATGGATAAAGAGCCTGGGAAGCGTCTGCTTTTTCACTTGGTCCAGCCCTGGCTTCTACATTTGGCCAGGAAATTAGATGGCTGGGTGAACCTCTTGCCTCAAATACCCCTATCTTTCAGGTCCAGAAAGCCTTGTCACTTGCATCCAAATCTGTGGCCTTACTTGTGGATGCTGCAGTGCAGTCTGAAGGCTGTGACACTTGAACTGCTTGCAAAGCCATTTGGCTCAAAGCTTGGGAGGGAGACTTGTCTTCAAAGACCATGCTTTGTGGTTTACTTTACTTTTTTTTTTAGGCAATCTACAATGCTCAAAATTAGGGACACTTTTTAATGAGAATATAGCATCATCAAACTCCTGGGATGTTTATTTGGTCAGTTAAGAAGCAGAGGGGGGTTGTTGATCATTTTTAGCTGCTTTTGGTGTTAATGAAATTTAACGTGCACTAGTTGGGCAAGAATGAGATGGTATTGGGATGAAATCCTTGGACCCATTGTCAGACCCTACATTGGTGCAGTGGGTTCTGGGTTCCTGGTACACAATGCCTAGCCTCGTGGTGAGAGGATGAAGGCATTGATACCATTAAATGGCCCCCACGCTTGCCTTGAGGCTGAAGGAATTGAAACCATTGAATGGCCTGCACACTTGCCTGACCTAAATCCAATAGAACACCTCTGGGATCTCATGTTGCAGTCTATCCAACACTGCCAGGTCGTCAGGCATGCATACCAGCATGTAGGGGCCATACAAACTGAGTACCATTTTTTTTTGAGTTGCTTCAATGAAACTTCAGCAAAATAGACTGGCCTGCTACATAATTTTTTTCACTTTGATTTTCAGGGTGTCTGTCCATCAATCTATGGGGCATCCTGGCATATAGCAGGAAATAAGCATAGAGTGTGACATTTCCACCAAACAGAAGACATAAGTGCTCAGTCCCACAGCATTAATGCTTTGCATAGCAGAAACCAGTGGGAAATGGAAAATTTTATATACACCCAGCAAACTATGTAGATTAAGAAGCTCATGGTGCTAGGTCTACTAGCTAAGTGAGGCTTCAGAGAAAGGACAGGAGGCAGGGTTTTGGACCTGGAAACAATTCCACAGCTAACTTTTATCAAAGTAAGTTTGGAAAGCACCCCACAGACAATCCAGTGCCCGAAGGTCATTTCCAGGCTACCCTTGCAAATTCCTGTCCAGAGGTGTGTTGGATGAAGTACTCCAAAAGTCAGGCTGGGGACAGTCTTGATTAGCAAACGGATTAAAAAAAAAAAAAAAAGCCAGTGGAAAAATTGGTTAGTTCTAAAACAGAAGACCATCCTTCTTAGACTACAGGTACACTATATTGCCAAAAGTATTGGGACACCTGCCTTTACAAGCACATGAACTTTAATGGCATCTTAGTCCGTAGAGTTCAATATTGTGTTGTCCAACACTTTGCAGGTAGAACAGCCTCAACTCTTCTGGTAAGGCTGTTCGCAAGGTTTAGGAGTGTGTCTGGGAATGTTTGACCATTCTTCCAGAAACGCATTTGTGAGGTCAGACAAGGCTGGGCTCGCAGTCTGCTTAATTTTCCCAAAGGTGTTCTATGGGGTTGAGGTCAGAATTCTGTGCAGGCCAGTCAAGTTCCTCCACCCCAAACTCGCTCATCCATGTCTTTATGGACCTTGCTTTGTGCACTGGTGTACAGTCATGTTGGAACAGGAAGGGTCCATCCTCAAACTGTTCCCACAAAGTTGGGTGCATGAAATTGTCCAAAATGTCTTGGTATGCTGATGCCTTAAGAGTTTCCTTCACTGGAACTAAAGGGCCACAAGCCCATCCCTGATACCCCCCACCATAATCCCCCCCCCCCTACTTTACACTTGGTGCAATGCAGTCAGGCAAGTACTATTGTCTTGGCAACCACCAAACCCAGATATGTCTATCAGAGACAGACACGCATTCCAGAGAACACGTCTCCACTGCTGTAGAGCCCAGAGGCAGCGTGCTTTACACCACTGCATCCAACACTGTGCATTGCACTTGGTGATGTAAGGTTTGCAGCTGCTCAGCCATGGAAACACATTCCATGAAGCTCTCTATGCACTGTTGTGGTAACCTGAAGACCACTTGAAGTTTGGAGCGCTTTAGTTATTGACTCTGCAGACAGTTGGCGACTTCTGCATGTGTGCTTCAGCATGCAGACACCCGCTCTGTCATTTTACGTGGCTTACTACAATGTGGCTGAGTTGTTCCCAGTTGCTTCCACTGTTATACTACCACTAACAGTTTACTCTGGAATATTTAGTAGCAAGGAAATTTCACAGATGGCAACCTATCACTGTACTACGCTTGAATTCACTGAGCTCCTGCGAGTGACCCATTCTTTCCCAAATGTTTGTAGAAGCAGTCTGCATGTATAGGTGCTTGATTTTATACACCTGAATCCAATGATTTGAAGGGGTGTCCCAAAACATTTGGCAATATAGTGTAGCTTTAGTGTCCAGTCCTCCTGTAGGTGACATCCTGTGCCACTCAATGGTCAAGAAAGATGCATGCATTCTATGCATGAAGGTAAAAAACCTTGTGTGTAACAGCCCGCTCTAACTTGCCTGAGCCTCATCCTGAACCAGTGGCATCCACGAGATCCTCAATTCTCCAGGGACTCACTACTGATTTGCTGAGGCAGCAGCGGGTGCTTTTACCACTTACCGTGTTTCTCTATCTAAAAAATGGTGGGGGACATGGAATGCCTAAAAAAAAAAAAAAGCTCATAAGCCATTGGCTTATTAATTTAAGTGATCACTTTCTACAGTACATGCAGGAAGCGCAGTAACTTGCTTGAGGGAGGATCTCAGGGAACATATGTCACTTCAATGTCAGTTCATACAGTCATGGCCGAAATTGTTGGCACCCTTGATATTTTTCCTGAAAATCAAGTATTTCACACAAAAAAGGTATTGCATTAACACATGTTTTGCTATACACATGTTTATTCCCTTTGTATGTATTGGAACAAATATAAAACAGAGGCAGAAAAGCAAATATGACATAATGTCACACAAAACCCCAAAAATGGGCTGGACAAAAGTATTGGCACCCTTAACTTAATATTTGGTTGCACACCCTTTGGAAAACATAACTGAAATCAGTCGCTTCCTATAACCATCAATAAGCTTCTGACACCTCTCACCCGGAATTTTGGACCACTCTTCCTTTGCAAAACAGCTCCAGGTCTCTCTTATTGGAAGGACACCTTTTCCCAACAGCAATTTTAAGATCTCTCCACAGGTGTTCAATGGGATTTAGATCTGGGCTCATTGCTGGCCACTTCAGAACTCTCCAGCGCTTCTTTGCCATCCATTTCTGAGTGCTTTTTGACGTATGTTTGGGGTCATTGTCCTGCTGGAAGACCCAGGATCTTGGACGCAAACCCAGCTTTCTGACACTGGGCCCTACAGTGCGACCCAAAATCCTTTGGTAATCCTCAGATTTCATGATGCCTTGCACACAGTCAAGGCAC